TTAATTTCAGGATTTAGTTTGTTAGAAGAGGCCCAACTAAAAAGTACACTTACTGCACAGAAAATTGGTTCTGTTTTACCTCAAACCAGGACACTTGGTATAGCTGATATTGGACTGAGTTGCCGTTTCTGTATGTGCATGTTTCTGCATGAGGCTGGGGGCAGCATTGACTGCTGTGGGGCTGATGCCATGGATGAAGCTTGTGAGGGTCTGGTTCTCCATTCTGAGATCATATCCAAATCTGTGGTTACCACCTGTGGTTATCATCCTTAGCCTCTGCCTGCAAGGGAATTCACCAAACTGCATTGTTCATACCATGGAATAGTTCCTCAGGAAAAGCTGTTGGCGACTATTGCACATCTTCAGAAATACATTGCTCTGAAAAGAAAGAAGAGAACCTGAAGGGTTGGGAGGAGTTATCTGAGCTTCCCGTATCAGAACAGATATATATTAAGCATCCAGTGCAGAAAAGCATCCAGAACACTGGCTTTGATCAGAAGCCAGTTTCGATTGCCTTTAATGCAGGTGTAAGTCAGGAGGAGTTCTGCTAGCATTACTGTGATATGAGAGAAGTTTGCAAAATACCTCTTAGCAACAGTCAAATTTAATTTTACGTGGAAGGAGGGTGGGTGCTACTGTAGCACTGATGCTATGAGAGTTGTGATCCAATCTAACCAATGCCACAACGTTGTTCCCAGTGTTTCATATCTGAAGTAACTCTCCCAGGACCAACTGAGATAATGAAACTGGGAGTGTTTCTCATTCTTATCAGATTGAAAATTGTCATGGAAGTGAAAGTGGTGGCCTGTAAGCCAAGCTACAGCCCCAGTATTTAAATATCGTAGAATGGTTTGGTAAAGATCATCGAGCTCCAAGTCCCCTGCCCTGGGCAGGGACACCTCCCACTAGATCAGGTTGCTCAAAGCCCCATCCAGCCTGGCCTTGAACACTGCTGGGAATGGGGCTCACACAGCTTCTCTGGGCAACTTGTTCCAGTGTCTCACCACCCTCACACTAAAGAATTTATTCCTACTATCTCATCTAAATCTCCCCTCTTTAAGTCTCAAACTATTACTCCTGATACACTGATCTCATGAAGTGATACCACGCTCTCTGATCAAGAATGCCTCCCCATCTCTCCTGCAGGCCTCCTTTGAGTAGTGGAAGGCTCCTATAAGGTCTGCCTGGAGCCGTCTCTTCTCCAGGCTGAACAACCCCTACTATCTTAGCCTGTCCTCATAGGAGAGGTGCTCCAGCCCCCTGATCATCTTTGTGGCTCTCCTCTGGACTCGCTCAAACATGTCCTTCTTACGTTGGGGAGCCCCAGAACTGGATGCAGTACTCCAGATGGGGGTCTCACCAGAGTGGAGTAGAGAGAGAGAATCACCTCCCTGGACTTGCTGGCCATGCTTCTTTTGATGCAGCTCAGGATACAGTTGGCTTTCTGGGCTGCCAGTGCATGTTGCCGACTCATGTTGAGCTTCTCAACCAAGATCCCCAAGTTCTTTTCCTCAGGGCTGCTCTCATTCTGTTCTCTGCCCAGTCAAGAGGTTTTTGCTCACCATTTGTTGTTGACACGACCTGATGAGTTTTCCTTTTGCTAATGTTATGTGATTTTGAAGCAATAACTTTGCTCTGTAAGTCCAACACTATAAAGTTTTAATTGACAATATGTGATCTGGGATGGAATGACAAACCTCTCATCTCTGATTGTTGATTCAAACACAGTGCAGCAGCACGTTGGAAGTCTAATGGTGAATGAGTTCCTGCAATGGCTGAGTGATTCAGTCTAAAGCAGAGGAGTGGCCATCTCACCATTAACTTCCGCCACGTTATTGCCTAAGCAGTAAAGATGCTTTTAAAGCCCGAAGACTCTAACTAGAGCTTTCACATCAGCTTCAGCCTCTGAAGGATCCAAACCTAACGTGTCTGTGTTTAATCTCCACTGAAAATCTGGTGAGGCTGGGTTTTTTTGTCTCTTTTGAGTAAAGTGAAAGTTTCTTTATTCCAGGGAAGTAACGCTGCCTTTAGCTGTGTAGAAAAGCCTAACTGAGCTGTTGCTTGTGTGTGGGGGGGTAAGGACAGCTACATAGCCTTTAGAAAAGCAGTCTGTTTCAGAAGTGACAGGGTGAGTCTCAAAATTCTTGTTTATTTCTTCATTTCTGTTAGCTTTTAAGGGAAGACAAGGGTTAATTAGATAGCAAATACCCTCAGGAAGCAGGATGCAAAAAATATTTCAGAGGGCTGATTCACTGCAGTATTTCTGTGAAATTCAGGTCATACACTTCTCTATTTTGTATTGTTGTTCATGAAAATGCATGAGAAACCAAGTCTATCCATCCCCTTGCTTTGCACAGCCTTCAGTCACATTTTAAGAGAAAGAAAAGAAATCAGTTCCTAGTAGAGATAAGTCTCTAAGAGAAGTTAAGTGGTAAGTTTAACTTCTACAGTCCAGCTTTGCAAAGATAGTATGTAGTTCTGTATTGTGTAAAGTGATAGAAAGATGAAAGAGGAAGAGCCTTACCCTTCATTGCAAGATGCTGAACAGCAAGCTCTCCAGATAGGAAATGTCGAAGTTCTTGTTAGTTCTGATTCTGCCTTGGTGGGTTAAAGAACAGTTTGCATAGTAGAATACACACTTGGATTAGTCTTTCATTTGAATTTGACCATGGTATATAGGTACTTCTACAGACAATTTCAACATGTGACTCCTGGTACACAGAGGACCTGAGATAATGAGTTGTTTGATGAATGTTTTGGTTGCTTTTTTCTGCATTAATTGGTTTTACACAGACTTAATGTATTGAGAGGAGTGGGAAAGAGTACATATTTAATATGATTAATGTTTGCACATTCACTAGAAAATAGCTTATAAAATATGGTGTCTTCTGTTTTTCTTGGAAAAGATTTAACAGCTGTGAGTACTGTGCTTCAAAATGTGACTTTTGAAGATGCTCAGCTTGTTGTTTTAAATAAAAACTCCTTCAATGTCCTAGTGATTATTTACAGATGAGGAAGAGTGTCAAAGTAGCCACATAAGAGCACCAGGTATATTAAAGTGGGAAAAAAATTAGTTACTTGAGCTGTAGAACTCTGGAACTAACATCCTTATTATTGTAAACTGGGACATTGGCTCCATGCCACCTCAAAGTGTGTCAGTCACAAGCTCGGTCTGTGCAGTAGTACTCACCTATCCTTTGAAAGGCTTTTAAATAAACAGATGACTGCCACAGAGCCTTTGAGAGCTGGAGGTTATGGGTCTTAGTAACAAACAACAGACTGTAGGGCAAAGTTGTTTCTTTAAAGTGCCTTCATTTCCTGCCAAGAACACTCAACTAAATTGTTCCCAGTGTAGTTTTGTTTAAAGTCTTCTTTCCCTGACCTTTGTCAGGTTTCAGGATCCCTGGATTTGAACATTCAAGATCTCTGTTTTTGAATGTTACTGCAAGTGGCATGTCAGATATGACAATAGAGTCCTTGGAGTTCATGTACTGAACTCTTTGTATTTTGCTGGCGCAGAAAGAATAACTGTTTATAAACTCAGGATTAGAGTATCCCTCCATTATGCCATCAGCAAAAGGAAAAGCAGGAACTCCTCTGCTGGTTTTGTTTAGCTGCTCTTTGCTGGCAAATTGACTGGATGCTGATCTCTCAGCTATTTGGGAGAGGATTTTTTATGGCACTTAAATTCTGTTGCGTGGAGATGGGGTCTAGCACACTACATTTCTCTTTGCTTTGTTACATATTGCTTTCTGGTGGTGCTTAATTAAAAAGAAGCACCCTTTTCTCTTCCTTTCTGCCCCTCAGCAAGGCTTTGGGCAACTGTCTTCAGAATAATTTAGCACTTTCCACATACAGCCTAGTAAAATTTTCATGGACATGATTTCTCTTAAGGGAAACTGGAGCATACGTAGTCTCATGATGAGAATTCATCAGCCACAGATAGGGTAGGATTTTTGTAATGCTGTGCAGATTTAAAATATATTGCATTATTTAATTTAAATAATGCACACCATGAAATGTTTACTTTCTGTCTTTAATCTCTGTCCTTAAACCTTCAGTACTAAAACAAATGTATAATTGAGGTTGCCCCATCTATGCTATCACCTAATAGTTGCCTGCCTTTACTGATGATAATACTCTTCCGCATGTATAAGAACAAACAAGGTTCTGATGCAGTATTTATTTTTTCAGTCAGATTGGCTGTCAAAGCCATTCTTTGTTGCCAGAGTAGGTTAGATGGAACACCACAAAGTCTATGCTCTTCCTTTTGTAAGAATGACAAGGCCAAGTATTCCTCTGTAGAGAAGATGAATAGAGCTATAAGGGAAGTGGCAGCTTCACTGTTGCTGTCTACTTATCCTACACAGTCCAATACAAAATTAAGACCACTTCTGAATTCCTGAAGGTGATTCAAGAAAAATAACAAACTCTATATATTTCTATGGGAAACATGAATTATTGCTGTGCAATATTGTAAGTTGCACTCTAACTAGGTTCTGTAAGGTTTGCAGAAATAAATAAGAAATAGAAAACAAATTGGAAAAGTCTTGCTTGGAGATTTTTTTCCTACAGAGAAGAGTGCTGAAGCTATGGTGAATGCTTAGAGGCGCCATCAGTCATTTTAGGAGCAGTTAGGTAAGACTTCTAAATTGTCACATAGTATTTTGTCTACTAAATTTATACATGCATTATGTATTACACAAGATTCATTGAATTTCCATCTCTATGATAATTTAAGAGCCTCTCTCTTACCTCTCTCTGGGTAAATATTTAAAGAGGACAAATAGTTAATTCCTTAATACTTTAAAAAGTAGGTTTGTTTTGTTTTGTTTTGTTTTAAATGCTCATCAAGTTAGGGGTTTGCCAGTTTTTAAGGCTACCTTGTTATATATTTGCTTTTCAGCTCATAATTACTAGAAAATGATGGTAAAACAGTAACAAACTGACAGGGCCATACTTGAGCTTACCCCTAATGTATATTGTTTCCATATCCTTAGGGACATGAAGCCTTTTGGGGCGGCTTTCAAGGGGAAGAGCTGGTAGACTGCTCTGAAGTTGACACGTGCTTCTGTGAGAAAAAGAGCAGAGCCTGGTGGACCTGTGATAGGGAGCAACTGTTCTCACATACCTGCATTTAGTCCCAGGTGTGCTTTTCTGCCAACTGCTACAGAGCAGAAGATTAGCAGACATGTCCATAGCACTCAAGCAAGTCTTTAATAAAGATAAGACCTTCCGCCCAAAACGTAAGTTTGAACCTGGAACCCAGAGGTTTGAACTTCACAAACGAGCGCAGGCCTCTCTCAACTCAGGCGTGGACTTGAAAGCAGCTGTGCAGCTTCCCAATGGAGAAGACCAAAATGACTGGGTGGCTGTCCATGTTGTTGACTTCTTCAATAGGATCAACCTCATTTATGGAACTATCTGTGAGTTCTGCACAGAGAGGACCTGCCCAGTGATGTCTGGAGGCCCTAAGTATGAGTACCGGTGGCAGGACGACATGAAGTACAAGAAGCCCACAGCATTGCCAGCACCCCAATATATGAATCTTCTCATGGACTGGATCGAGGTGCAAATCAACAATGAGGATATATTTCCTACGAGCGTAGGTAAGTGCAAGGACCTAAAGTATAAACTGCCTGTTGTTCTGTGTACTGGGGTGTTCTCCTCCCACCTGCGTTCTTAAGGATTGTGAAATTCAAGCGTTTAAACAGCAGATGGGGAGGAGGTGAGTGTCTTGCAGGAACAGTGTGAGGTGTATGACATGTTAATTGTGGCTGCTAGATATGGTGGGCTTTATTAGCCTAAAATGTTTTCATTCTAGCCATTTGCCCCTGGTAAGACTCTCAGGTTTATTACTAGGGGCGGTCACTATTGCATTATTAGTTTGTTGATAACTAATCAAGTTTGCATTGCTTTGCACTTTGCCTGGCTGCTTAGGCTGATACCGAATGGATGGACAGCAGCGCCTAACTGGGGTAGTATCCTCCCTTTGAAACATGTACAGGCAGTGGAGAGGCAGGAATGCAGTGAACTCTGCCCTCCCACCCTTTCTGACTTCCCATCCAAAACTGACAAATAGTGGATTATTCTCCAAATTACTGTTTCTAGGACGACATATAACTAACAAGCTACCTATAACAGGCCAGGTGAGGCAGCTGGCAGACAGCAGCACAATTTTCCTTTTATAATACTCTAGTCAGTTTTCCTGAAAAGTGGGGCAAGTAGGTAGAAGTATCTTTGTTGGAATAGATTCCTCTGGCTGAGAAGGACTTTGCAGAAGAGTGCATTGTGCAGAGAGCCTAAATCTTTAGCTGTAGACGCAGGTAATAAAAAAAGACAGGATTCTATACCTTAGACACGTCAGTGTACTTAGGTTATTTTTAGCAGTTTTAGTTAGTGAGTCCTGATTCACTTCTTGTAAGTGGGAAAACTGGGAGTTTGCTGTAAGAAATGTGGGATGTTCTATATAAGTACTTGGCCCAGATGAGTAGCAAACAAGAAGAATGCTCATTTGTTAAAATAAGTTCAGCCAAATATTTTGCAGTTTATATGCAGCTAGGGCCTGCAGCCAACTGGTAGATGATACATCCAGAGGTTGCATCTGTCAGTATTTCCTGACCTTTGAAATACATTATTCTTGGGCTGGACAGTTATTTGTCTGGACAAACCTGTGGTTTGTTTCACGGTTCCTATCACCTCTCTTTTCTATGCTAGTAGGTAGAAAGAAAGCAGTAACTACCTTACTTTAACCTGGACTTTGCTAGCACAGCAAGAAGGAGGATTTCAAAGGCAGTGGTATCATATACACAAAAGTGTAATATAAAATAGGTTTGATTTCTCAAGTATTTGTTGTTAGATGGTTCTTCAGAGTGAATGATTTTTGAAATTAAAAGTGGGTTGAAGGTGCGGTGAAGTACGTGATTTTGCTTTCATTGGTATTTCTGCAAGCTTTTGTTACATCACGTTTCCATCTTGGAGTATTCCAATGACACTCTGTGCTCTTGCAGTTTGCATATGCAGAAAATGTCTGTCTGCAAGCATGGGAGCAGGTAACATGCTGGCATGCTGATGAGCTCTACTTAACCAGAAATAATCTATAACACACAAGTTTTCAGATCTAGGTGCTCCCCCCTTATGTTTTTATTAAGGTACATCTGGATGAACTTTTATCCAGAAGGCTTACCTATTGTAAGCTTAAGAACTGAATCAGTAACTACCCTCAATCTACTGTTTTTCTTCTCCCAGCAGCTTCTGCTGTTGTAGTTTAAATCAAATCTGAATAAACTGAGGAAGGGGAAAGACCTGTGGTCTCTAGAATAGGAGTGGACTCTGATACAAGTCAGAACAGAAATACTTGATATCTGTGAAAAATCCTTGTCTCACTCTGAATTGACCCAAAGGAAGAGGAAGAGTCTGCTTGAGCCTTCGTGGAGTGGTAGACTGTGCCATGGTTGTATTACAGACCTGTATTATAGACCTGGACAGTCCCATAAAGAGATTTTATAGATACCTTTTGGGGCATTACTCCATAAAGCAGCTCTTGCATCCACATCCTACTCTCCCCTCCTCTTGAGCCTTAGTTGCAGATACCATGGTGGTCACCTGCAGTTCTCAGTATCTTTTTGATTTACTGATTTGTGGTGTGAAACTGTTGGTAAAATTGCTTGGGAGGACCTTAGATCTTACAGTTTAGAAACAAATGCACACTGCATTGAATTTTGCATTCTGGGTACCTCTCTCTCAGCAAATCCCTATTTAGGCACCCAGAACAGTCAAAGGGAAGTTTGTTCCTGGGGTGTGTTTAAACAGTCTGTTCCTGGGCAAGTTACTTTTCTTTCAAGGGAATCTTTCTGATTGATTTGTACATCAATCCCCTATGTGTAAAATGGTGATGATACTATCAACCAGTTTGTCTGAATACTGCTGTTGAATGAAACACAGTCACTCACCATGTATATTGTTAACATATTTTGCTTTTCACAATTGGATCACAGAGAGACCCTTTGTTCCTGTGTTGGGTACTGCTTGCTCCTACCTGTTTTGCAGCAGCCTTTGGTCAGATGTACCATAGGCTTAGTATTAATGCAAACCTCTATTTTCATTCAGAGAAATCTACGATGGTGAAAATGATGACTGTTCAGTCTTCAAAGCAGTTGAAATAGATCTTGAAAAATGATATACACAGATGTGAAAACACAACAGGTTTAAGTATGTCCTTACTAATAGCACAATAGTTTTGAAGCATTGAGTGGTTGTAACTTAAGAAGATTAATTTATTGCTTTGAATCTTTGTAGCATATGGTCTGCAGAGAATAGTTCTGGAAAAAACGTATGTCCAGTGAATGGGATTTGGGCTGACATTGCGATTAGCAAATGAGTTTGGTTACAGGATCCACAGTGGGATTCACAGGAGCCGCACACAGAAATGTGAAAGCATTTTTCTCAGCCTAATCCTATTAAACTTGTCCTCTTCCATTTGACATATCTCATGCAAACTATCTCAAAACGAATTTCAAGAACTGTGATTAAGTACAGCTTTCATTGAGGAGCTATTTCCAAGGAAAATAACTTAAAGACAGGGATAGCCAGGCTTGGTGGGCTTTTTTCATGTGGTGGTGGTGGTGTTTCTCTGTGGTTTAAAAAAAGCCATGAACGGAGTTGAGTTAAAATTGTAACGAATGTTATATTTAACCCTCTCAGTGTTTACATTGGCATGATGACCTTGACCACTTACCAGTCACGGAACTTCCTGTGGTCTGGTGCTGTTTCCTCTCTGCTTTCTCCAGCGATTTGGTTCTACTCATTTGCTGGTAAACAGCCTTTTCCTCCAGCCACTCTCCTACTAATACTGAACTGGTTGGCAGGAGAAAAGGAAGCTAATATGGGAACAGAAGAGCTGTCAACAGTTGTGTGCAGGTGACAAAAAGGGACTACTTTGTATAGCAAAGCTTTAAAGACTGTCTATGTAAAATGGCCACACAGCTTGTAGATTTTAGACATGATAATTTAATTATTTTTATTTCCATTATTCTCAGTTTCCTTTATCCATTTTAAGTGGGTTTAAGGCATGTAAGAGGCAACAGTTCTGGAAACAAGTTCTCAGTATCAGCCACAGATATACCCGGGCCTGTCTCGGGTCTCACTGAGTGAGAATGTAGGAGCAGAACAGAGGAGAGTTCACTCTGTGTGCCTGCTCAGGCCACTCTGGTGAAACTATCCTTATCGGTCCCCAGCATGGATTTTTGTAGTGTGCTGAAGTTTTAGTTAGCTTTAGGGTAAACTGTTTTTTCTTCAGTAAATACTAGGTGCTCTTGCAGGCATCTAGTAGTCTTACTATTTTAAACACCTTTCAAGGGATACATTTCCCAGGCTCATATGGACAATTTAAATACTCCATAACCTCAAAAGTACTGTCACTCTCCCCACATCCCATACTTTTTTTATTTCTGTGCTAATCATTTGGAGTGGGAAGCAGCAGATCCTTGGGACAGCTGCAGTTTTTGGTGGGCTGGAATTGTCAGCTTTCACCATATCTGTTTGGGCAGTGTCAAAACAGGAGCTAAGAAAGCAAGTAGCTTTCTACTGCTGTGCTTCCTTCAGACCCTGATTCCCAAACAAGACCACTTCAGTTGCCTTAGTTTTTTTCTCTTCCTCATTGCAGCCTTAAACTGGGAGTAATTTTGGCTTGTTTAGTTTTTCAGTGAATGGAATGTTTTTTTCTGTTGTAACACTGGCTGGGAAAGATACCCAGATATTTAAGGCCACAGGGGATTATTTCATTTATTCTAATCTGACCTCGAGCATAACACAGGCCAGAGAACCACCATGTGATTTCTTCATCAGGTCCATAGTTTGAAATGAGAAGACGGAGAGTTCTGCTGAAATAAACAAGAACACAAACTTCTTTTCTGAGCTTACATAATAAAAAACTTGTCCCAATGAGGACAATAAAGCAGTTGAGAGGGGGCCAAGAGAGGTTGTGCTGTCTTCATGCTTCAGGTTTTTCAAGATCAGGCTGGATAAGGCCTGAGCAACCTTATCTGATGTCTATATGAAGCAGAAAGCTGGGATGCAGACCTCCCAGCCTGAATTGTCCTGCTATTCTTAATTCAGACTTCAGTACTGACGGACTGCTTCTGGAACAAGAGCTAAATTGATTAGAAATTGATTAAGCAGTTTAAGAAACTGCAGTTTGGCATTTAATGTACAAAAGTACTTTGTACGAAGTACAAAATTGCTTTTAGGCTATGAGAGTTTTTGTAGAGGAGGATTTCAAAGGTTATTAAGTTACTGTAATTGAATAGCCTAGCTATGGCTGATCAAGATGATCATACTTTTAAAGTGTTTAAAGCCTAGGACTTCAGCTGAAAAACCAATGTATCTTTAGAAAGGTCCATGGTTAACTAGGAAACTTTGGTAGCAGCAGAGTTTTTGCACAGAGCATGTGTATGATGCTACTTCCAAAAGAGGAGCCTAATATGTCACTGCAATGAATTTACAAAAGCAGACCAAGACTCTGGAGGACTGTTGTGTGATTCAAAACAATCACTAAATCAAGAACTAAACTTTTTCGATTCTTTCTTACTGATACTGTGGTAGAATTTTT